CAGGGTGTGCTGAAGGTGAGGGAGAGGCTACAGATGGCCAGGAGGGGGACAGCAGTAGTTTGGAGAAGCCTGCCAGGGAACCAGAGAGGCTACGGCTTACCAAAGTTAGCCTCTAAGCTAACTGTTGGAGATGGAAGGAGGACAGTAGTTGATCAGAAAAGCATGCCGGGCAGAAGAGCGGCAGAGCAGGGGAGAAAAGTCAGCAGCTGACTGGTGTCTGCACTGGAGTTGAGACCATAAAACAGTCCTTCTAGGGCTAAATTAACATCACCTTTTTAAAAGCCATCTACAAACCTCTTAGGGACATTCCCAACTTCATCCTTTGTCTACATGAGTTATGGTTAAAAAAGCTCAACTCAACTCTGCTTCCTTCACTGAAACCATGGTTGATTCATGATACTTTAGGAATGAATAATAGATTTAATAATGTTACTGGCTACAAATTACATAGGTCCTTTTTGACTTTTGACACAAGGTTTTTCCATTTTCGCCTATCCTTCATAGAGCTCTAACCCAAGTTGATATTTTAGTCCTTTCTCTGTTGGAAAATTATAGGAAGATGGTTTCGGCATCAGCATAAATTTAACAGTATTCCTATCTATGTTCAGTCAGAACTACTCTTTACTACCCAGTTGCTTACCCATCCTGTAATGGTGATGTGTAGTTTTCAGACGTAACATCCCAGGGGATGTTATCTATATGATAATGTAAAACGATACATTTCTGATGTGAAAACTTTTTTATTTTGGTGTGTTTTTTTTGTTTCAGCACCAAAGTACGGTTGTTTTCAGGCATCAGTTGGGTGCACCAGAGTTTAGCTGGAGTTTGAAGGTGAGCTGAGACCTTCTCTCCAGTCAACACTAGTTTGTTGCACATCAGAGTCTGATTGTGCTTTCATACTGGCCCACAGGGGAGATCAAATTTAGGTCGATCTAAATTTAAATCGACCTTAAGCTGCAGGTGTGAAAACACACTTTATTAATTATATGAAAGAACTATAGTAAAGCATATATCAAAACAATATATATATATGATATATATGGACAAACTGAAACTATATATAATTTTCTTTAACATCAGTACTTTTATGCAAAGCTCTCATTTCCATTTATCAAAAGCACAATGGAAGTTTCTATATGAAAATATGCCCTCAGAGCATTAGGATAATATACAGTGCCAATAATTTCTACTTGGTTCACCTGAAATCTTTTGAGAAAAAATTGATTAAAAATCAGGCTGAGCTTTTGAGCAACTAATGAATAAAAACCTGTGAGACAGCACTGTTTACAAGAACCAAGTGAGAAACTCTCACAAAGACATGCAATTCACACATACCTGTAGTGCTCACAACTCTGTGCAAATTTCCTGCAAACACATCAACACATGCAGAACTTTCTTTGCAAAGCTTCAACAGATTTCATGCTTTCCAGAAACACAGATTCATAAATGCTCCAGAGACCTGGAAACAAATCAGATCGCAAACCTTTGCAGAAGATTTCTAGCCAATTGAAGTGTATTACATTTCACTTACTGATTTTAGTGACTGGCTTATGCACATAGAAAAATAAATAGTGAACTGGTAGTAATTTTACAAAATTCAGCTTAAATAACAAGAGTTCCACATGCACACATGTGCAGTACGGCTGTTTGCCTCCCACGTGCAGTGTTTGTGACGCATAGGAAAAGTCATTAGGCCTGCACTTCCTCTCAAAAACTGAGGAGAAGGAAGAGCGGTTGTCTTAAAACACACAGGAAATGTGTGGGTGAATGCCAACATAATATGTGTGTGCATGTCTCCAAGTCTAAGGTTCAACCCCCCTTGGGGCCAATGACCAAGGTCTTGTAATTGCTTTTCTTTGATTGTGTTCATGGAGTAGACTATGGCCACAATTACAGTCATTTCAGAAACTCAACTAATGGTTAGTTTATTTCACAGACATGGGTTCAGCATTAGTCCAAAGGTTTCCAGCACATCTTCAGTTTTAGATTTAGCTGAATGTGCACTACTTAAAATACATCTAAAAATAACACTTTTGATGGTGCTCATTTTTTGATTAGTTTATATTCTATTTAATAAGCCGAACTGGGGCGTTTTTTTTTTCCAATTGAAGACAAGAAGTAGTTAAACATCTAAACATAAGCATAGCTATAGTAGCAGTTTTCACAAGTTCCATTTCTCTCCCTTGAAACGTATGAAAAGAGGCAACTTCTGCTTTTCAATGGAACTCATAGTTCTAATTGTGTAACTAATCACTTGACATCTATGGGTGTGTGTGAGTTTCTCATGGGTTTCTCTGTGCTGGAGTTATGATTTTGCATAACATCCAAACCAGCACTTCCTGGATTGTCTGACTGTGTGTGGGTGCATGTTTATCTTAATCCTCAGACAGCATCAACAGCTTGTGGTGTGTATGAATGTATTCATGATGTTGAGTAGGTGTATTCTGTATGTATGTGTCTGCTTAGGTATCTATTCTGCTTTAGCATGAGAAGTCTTGCAGCAAGGTGGAGAGAGACATATTGTAACACTTGTAGAGCTTCAAAAAAATTACAGACGGGAAGACTTAGAAATGTCTAAGTCTTGAGAAGCATAAATTGTTCCTTTAAGTATGCAAACCTAAACCAAAGTAAAACAATGCTAAGTGATATACAGCTTGTCCGACTTGTGTAAGAATGCACTTGCCTCCTATATACATACAAACACATACACAAGTGACATAACTTGGACATTGGGCCTGTGCTTGTTCCTGTTTTGAACATATGTCACCCAAGCAACATCCAAACTGCCACCATAAAAGAAAAATATATATCACATGCATAGCACCATTCCGATTACTCTATATTAAAAACACAAGAAGGAATATAGTCATGATTTCATTGGGCATTTGGTGCCTTTGGTGACATAAACCAAGGAACGTAAGCAATTGTAACTGCTAAATTCAAGTGTTGCATGTGTCAATTTAAACTAGATATACTTGGATAATTTGTGTTCAAAAGTAGCGTGATGATACCGCAACCTAAAGCGATGAGATAATATTTTTAATTAGGTTCACAAACTCATATATGTTTTAAACTTCATGTGCCTGGTTTTAAATATTTCTGTACAGATTTTGCTTGTCCATCCATATACCGTAATGCCTTTTTGTGACTTAGTCAATGATAAGAAATTATGATTGTTTACACAATTACACACCTACACCAATTCTGCTTTTTATACAAACAGGAAACAACATAGCCATCACATCAAAAAAAATATTATAATAACTTTAGCTATTCTAAATGTAACTGCAAGTAACAGTATGTAGAATTGATTGATTACTAAACCCAACATTTTGTGGATGTGCGAACAATATTCAATAGTCAAGCTATTTAAAGGAAAAACAACTCACAACTGGAATTGGTTTTATTTTTGTTGAAATTATTCTTAATTATTCATTTTACAGCTTTACCAATTAATATGAAAACATTTTTCTTGTCTCTGATTTTTGTCTTATAATTTTTAATAATACACACAGTAACAGAAAATTCATCAAAAGGATTTAAACTAGCAAAGGTTACGCTTCAATGTTGACGTTAACTATTATATACACAAAACCCAATAAATTCACTTTTCATAACCTGTTCAATCTCCAAATATGTGGAAGAATGGAACTGATTGAGAAAACATATCATTCTTCCACTCTGACAATTCAAGGAATCACTATTTTGAACCTCACTCTAGTCAGCTAGCATCAAATATATGTATCCCTTGGCTACCAGAGTTAATGTGTACATTATTTAGTTTCATTTCTTTTTTCATTTACAATCCCAAATTGTATCTTTTTATCAATATTAAATTGGTGACCCATATATGGGCCTTATTCCTATTCCACATGCCTGTCTACATTAAAAAAATAACAAAACAAAGGCAACTACCGGTAGTGCCTTAGAAATCTATAAAACATATGTTCTTTGGATTTTTGTTCGTGTGTAAAAATAACATTTTACATTTTAGTCTGTAAACTGTCAGCTATCTGCTGTCAGGCTTAAGGAAGCACACTGTTTGCTGTTATTGATGACACACAGTCTCAGAGGGATGCAAGGACAGCTGTCTTGTAAGATTCCCAGGTCACAGCATTGTATAGTGTCTAACTGCAAACTCTCTGTCAGCTGTTGTTTACTAGAAGGTAACACTCAAAGGCAGCTCATTTAAGTTCCCATCTGAATATTCTAACCAAAGTAGGAAATCCCCCATACACAGCAGACGCTAAGTAATGCAGGTGTTAAAAATATTGACTTTAGCGACTTGGTGTCAAGATATCTTAACAGTTATTATTTCTTTTTATAAAATGTTTTATTATATTATATTATATTATATATTTTATTTTGCTAGTTATGTTCTCCGTTCAACTACAATGAGTTTGGAAGGCTTTTTTTTTTCAAAGAAACATATTGAGTGATCCTGTTCGTACAACAATCACACAGAGATAAGGGATAACTTCACTTAAGGAAAGTTTGAAACCCTAACGTTACAGTTTGCGGACCGTGTCTCCCTGTTCTCACCGTTTTTTCTTAAATTGATGCGTCTGTTAAGCCTCTCAATCCCTGAAAAATGTTTCATTCTCTTCCATTTAACTGTGAGAAAAAGGTTCATAAAATTAAAAATTCACCATTTTCAGTATCAATGTGTAATCAGCCCACACAAGGTTGCTGTTACCACTTCAAAACTGTTCAAGAACAGTTCTGAGAGAAAAAAATGACTATCACTATTTTTTTGATACATTTTTTTTCTTTAGTTATCATATCCATAAACGTCTTAATTAAAAGGTTTTGCCATTTATCATCAGGCATTATGTGAAACATGTCTATATATATTTCATTTTAGAGATGTTTAAATTTTTTTCTGTTTCACTATTAGGTCTTAATTACTTCATGGGACCAGATATAAACATAGTTGGTTTAACCTGTGCGTTAATTAGTGGATATTGCTACTAAAAATGAACATCAGAGCAATATCTTACCTGTGCAGTGTAATTTCCCTGTACATTCTTTTAGTAGAGGTCTAGTCGGTGATGATTCCTCCAGTGTTAATTAAACCGTCTGTCTTAGAGAGAATTAGGGTCGTGATCTCCCAGACCTCACTACTCCCACACTCCCTAAGAAGAAAGGAGAGAAGACAGAAGAATTAATGAAGGAGTAAAAAGATAAAATGGCTTAATGAACCGCCTAACGAGGCCTGTGGCCATTTAATAAGTGCTTATTGCAGTTTAATTAGTGCAATAATCCAGTTTGTTTGGAGTCATTCATTGTTGACTGGTGGCTGATTGTGTTTTTATTGCAACCGGGTAAACAAGGAACGGTTGACATTCCACAGGGCACAAGACAAGTTTACCAATGTGTCTGTCTGAATAAATCTGCAGTGGATCTAAAACCTTAAAATGTTTTTAAAGGAAGTTACAAAGTGACAGAAAAGGAAATAGCCTGTCTTAACTGGTTTATTTCATATTTGTTTACCTCTCCAGATATCATCGGATCAGAGCTCTATATACAGTAGCATGTTGAATAATGACTAGAATAGTCTCAGACAACATAAAATCATCATGTATTTTATTCGTACCTACAACCATCATGATGTTATCACCAGTGGACTGACAAACATAGGAAATCATTGGCGGCTTAGCCTTTACCTGTACCTGAAATTGTGTTTTGTGTGGGGGAATTCATTCTAATCAAACTTTTTGTTAACTAATCATATCTCTGGTACAATTTAAAAAGAAAGCAAAGATTAGTATAGCAGAGGCATCTTGAAATGTTGTCCCAAGTGGGTAAAATTCTAATTTTCCCTTTAATCTTAGGTTATCAATTTCTGAATCGGCTAAAGCATCAGATTAACAACTACTGCAGTGTTGTTTATTTTTACTCATACAAAAAGATGGATTTTTACTTTTCTACTGCTTTTTTTTTTTTACAATTTAATGTCGAATCACAAATTATGAGCACACAAATTCCTTCATTTTGCTGTGTAATTTATAAAGTAATGACACATGCTTTTTCTGATGGTTTAGTCTGTGCATTGATTCACTCACTGTATGAACAACAATGCAGGGTTTTTCTCCACAGGCATTAGCATGGCTCAGATGAATCACAGACTAGAACTAAGCCTAAGGAGACATCTGAAGAGAGTATCAGGTATAGAGAACACGTGAGGCATCAAATTTTCATTATTCATGCTGAGATCCCATCACCTTTTCAAGGACTGACTCAGTCTCAGCATGTGCTGCATACTGTTGGTATTTGGCATCCAAAGATTACTCTTATGTCTCTGAAACCCTGCCTTTACTCTGAATGATTCATGCTGTGTCAGTGTTTGAGGCCAGTAAAATCCATACAGGAAGACCCTTTATGGACTTTACGGTATCTACTGATGCTATTAGTGAAAGAAAAGTAATTTTCTTTCTTACATTGATATATATGACCATGAGATGCTTCTAAAATGTGACCTAAACTAAAAAAGATTAAATTAGAGGTTTCAAAGGTGTATAGGTTTTATTACACAGGGATTCTACATTCCATACAAATCACATTTCTAATATTAAAGTCAGTTTTTTGCAGGGGTAAATTTTATACTTTTGCATTATGTTAACAATAAAGAAGCAAAAAAAAGGAATATTGTATATTTTTTATACACTATTTTAATTTCTATATGTGTGACCCTGGCCCAGCGATGGACTGGCAACCTGTTCAGCGTTGTCAAGTTAAAACAGCAAATGGTGTATTTGTGTGATTGCAATACCATCTCCACCCAACTGGTACGGGCCTCACAGAAAATCAAGCGCACCCATCTCTCTCACTCAGGCCTTCAGGAGCCTATAAAGTATCTCGACACACCTGTGTTCTGAGGAATCTCTACAGACAAAGACCTCATCTTCAAGCCCCTGCAGAGACACCACTGGTAGGAAATGAACTTTAAAACATTAAACCTGCATTCAGCGGACCTAGCAGGCTTTACAAAGATGGATTTATGCATTTGGAATTAACTTTATTTTGCTTATTTATTGATAANCACATTTCTAATATTAAAGTCAGTTTTTTGCAGGGGTAAATTTTATACTTTTGCATTATGTTAACAATAAAGAAGCAAAAAAAAGGAATATTGTACTTTTTTTCCATATAGTAAGAATAAAGGCAAAATAGAGTTTGATATTTTCTCCTTCTTACTAGCTTGTTAAAGAAATTATGAGGAAAACGATGATGCTCAAAAGTATGAGCAGGAACTGATTAAGACTATCATAATAGAGGTCTATTCTTCAAAATGTCTTTTTGCTCTTACTGTATATTTGTTTATTTTTTAAGCTTTTTTAACTTTATTCTTTTATTTTTTTTATACACTATTTTAATTTCTATATGTGTGACCCTGGCCCAGCGATGGACTGGCAACCTGTTCAGGGTGTACCTGGCCTCTCACCAGTAGATAGCTGGAGATAGGCACCAGCACCCCTCTGGATAAGCAAGACGGAAAATGGATGGATGTGTGACCCTTTTACCATAGTGCCTGTTGATTTGCTGCTGTTACACATTATTTCCTCACTGTGGGACAATAAAGAGGTTTTGTAATCTATTTTATTCTATTTACTTGTAATTTATTCTATTCTATTATTGGTCTTCAATGTCTGCATTTAGTCCACATGGTTGCTGGACCTGTTATTCTGGTCATAGAGACGTTAGCCTCCACTGCAGTCATTGCAATAATGCACTTTACATCCAATCCATGAATTTAAAAAAAACATCTCTTCACCATAACACAAATGTTCAAAAAGTTAGCAATTTACAGAAAACAAAATAAAAACATCTAATAAGTAAAACAAATACATGGTCCTTGATTATAGAGTATAAAATCTTCATTGGCATTTAAGCAATCAAACCTGTTGTATAATTGCTGACCAACTCTTTGCATGTTTTCATGGAGGTCTTATCTTTGAGAAAAGAATAAAAACAGAAATTCTCAAAAACAGTGGATCTCAATTTTATCAGCCAAGACTCTGACATTTCTGTGAAAACCATATAAGTTTATGTTTTATTAAGGTAACTTGAAATAATGAACCTAGAAAAAAACTAAAACTCCTCCCCCAGTGTCTGTGTTCGGGGCTTAAGGTGAACCATCATGGCTGCTGCTTTTGGAACAGTTAATGGTTTCCTTGCCTTTTTAAGACTTGACTACCACAGTGCTTACCCTCTTGTCAGAATAAGAGAGAGGGGTGTGAACTCTTTGAACACTCTCAAAATACTTGCAGTACTTAGTTATGCCCTGTAGGCTGACTAATGCACCTGCCATTACTAGTAAATTGTGTTCTGGGGTATTTCCTCAATTAATTGATGTCCATTCCTCTTGATGATATCTTAAAGTTCTATAAATCCATCCAGGAACACAAGGAACACTTTGCCTCTATCATTCAGGGCCTTCTCATAAATGTGTTATTTGTCAAAATAGAAAAATCAAAGTTGCACATCCCATCAGTCAACTTCCTTGGCATCATCCCTAAGGGCAGGCAGGTGTAAGCAGTTGGAGAAAACATTTGTTCAGTACTTAATTTACCAACTCCATCTAAAAATGGAAAGGGATGTTTTCTAATTTGTGCTGCCTTGTATCAATTTTTATCAAAAATGTCAAGCTTACAGCACTTTCACGTGAGCCCTGAAGCTGAGAGAGCTTTTCAAAAACTTAGAACCAGGTTCATGCATGCTACATGTTTTAACCAAACCAGGCAGCATAGAGAGTTTATTAGGAAGGTAGAGGATTCTTACTCTGGAGTAGAAGCAGTCCAGTTTCAGATTTCTGAAGCTGATAAGCTTCATCCATCACTTTTTTCTCTCTGTGCTTGAGGAAACCAAATACACCAAAATTGTTTGGACTGACCATAGAAAACTTTCAAATCTCCTGGAAGCCAACTATCTCTTCCCACATCAGTCTGGATGGTCTTTTTTCTTCTGTCGTTTTAACGTTGTCTCCTATAGACACTGCTCCTTTTTCACTGCTAAGCTGCTGCTCATTCACTGTCGGAAAGCTGTATAAACGAAAGTTTGTCTCAGTGTAAGTCTATACAAGTGGTTCCAAAGATAACAATACAGGCACCTTAACCTACCTACCTCTTGTGTCATTACCAGAGAGCTCCATGAATTTATACTTGAGGGTAGATTTTCTGAAACTGGCACTCATGCTGGTTCCCTCAACCTTGTTTGTGCCTACCTGTCTTCTCAGTTTTATAACCCAAATTTGGAGGGAATTCAGTTCCACTCCTTAAAGCCAAAGTTGCAACAAAATTCTTAGCCTAACAAACACACAAGTTTGATGAAACAAGAGCTAAAAGCATGGCTAAACTGCCCCTTCACTTTATTCCCCTTGACCTGGAGCTCACATTTGCCCTGAGTGGAATATGTACATAACAGTCATAGTTCTTCAAACACTGGATATTCTCTCTTTAAGTCAATCCTTCACTATCATCCCCTACTTTTCCAGTCTGATGAAGAGGACATGTCAATTACCTCAATCCATGTCCAGACCGCCTCCATAGAAGTAAACACACCTGGAATAATATTATTGCTGTGCTCAACCGTACCAAACTAAACAAAATCATTGTGTAGCCAAACCCCAAAGGATCACCTTCCACACAATATTCTTCTGGTCAGATGTTTAGGCTCTTAACCAAAGACATCTGCCTAAGAATCCACATTCAAGGAACATTCCCAAATAAATTGGTCCATTTGGGGATGAATCTGTTCTCAGCCCAAATTCTCTGTCTCAAGACAAGAGGTGCGGAAAAATCTCACCAATATCCCCTGCAGTACTTTTAAAATCCAACTAGGGGTTGCAACCCCTATATTAAAGACATCCTGTTTTTGAATATACTTAGTATTGCAGAAACAACAAAAAGGCAAAATCTCCTCTGAGTCGATCTGCAGTAAAATATTTAATGCTTAGTGTAAAAACGCAAGCTTTGTGACAATTAAGTTACTGTTACAAAGATGTTAAGTGGATTTCCCCACTGTGAGATCAATAAAGTTTATCTTATCTTATCACATAGATCCAGTAGTAACAGAAAAAAATGACTAGTTTTTAAGTGTGCTAGTGTGACTATCAAGTTTCCTGGTGAAAAATCAC